GTAAGATGGTTTCTTCCCATTTGTTTTTTTGCAAATAGAAACTAAATTCTTTATTACGAGCTTACGTAGCATCAGTTATCATTGTTCGAATATTAATGAGTTTCATTTTGTTGCAGGATTCGCATCGTTTTCAAAAGCACTTGACGAATGCATTCGTCGAAATTGCTTCTCTCTTCACCGAGCTGAAATAACTCAGTTTACTCGTGTCAAATGGGATGTGATATCGAAAGTTATCGTGTCAAATGGGATGTGATATCGAAATTATTGACGATCCATAGCAATCCAGAGTACCTTCGATGTGGACTGTTTCACAGTGAATTAAACTTTATCAGCTTTTTTATTTTTTCCGCCTCAGTTGTCATCGGTCGCCTCCGCAATGTCGCATTGCGGTGGACAGTCTATAATCACGCATCATAAACATTTCATAATAATATTCCTCAATCACGGTTTTATGTATTCGTGTCAACAAACTATTATTGTACTCATGTCCGACTTTTTTTTATCAATGTGCCAGTTTCCGTTGTCAAATGCTTATGTAACTACTATGATACGGCGAAAATGCCATGTGAATTTGTAAATTTCGACAATTTATAGTTGAAGGTTCTTGTATAAAATTGCTTTTTTTTTCTGATGACCTAGAAACGTATGGTTCGTTCTTGTGAATCACCTCAATTCTTGTGAATCACCTCAATCACCTCATCGTTCACCTCGTGTGAAGTACGTTTGATCTGCGCTTAGAATTCGACCGATATTTAGTGTTTAACTGAGTACGTCATGCTCAAAGGCAATCGTCGCAATAGCAATGAAGCGTAGATTTCAAACATGATCCAGTCACGAGATTATTTTGAACTTTAGAAACGATCTCAAATAACCTCTTGTTCCATTTTCGATTCATGACACAAATTTAAATTTAGTCACTTTAGTCACTCAACCAAAACAAACTCTACATTGACAAATATCAAATCGCATTGTCATTCCTCTGCAATTTTATGCGCTTTCCTCATATTTTCCTTGTTACTCCACAAATACAAATCATATCGTGATCTGGTGGAATAGTTCCGTGCAATTTAGGCGATAAACTCTTATTATAATTTGATTATTTTTCCATCCGCTCCTTCATCGTTATGGAGGTTGCAAAATTGGATCAGTGTGCTGATCTCAGCTCATGACAAATTTGGGCAAAATTTCAGTTGGATCTGTTTTCGACAAGAGCAACTTCATTCAGGCTTGAAAGTGCTCCAAATCAACGTTTGTTCAAAGCGCTGACAGGTTGATTGACTGGAACTTCGTGATTGTTGTTCGGTATTCGAGCACCAGCCAAACGAATTGAGCGTCAATCAAAACTTTGCATGTCCCAGTAGAGTCAATAAAAATGATTTGTAAAATATTTCCCAATGTTTTTAGTTTCATTCCCAATGGAGAATCCTTTTTTCTTGGCTTCAACGAAGTACTCTCGTCATGTTGCTTACTATAAATACATCCGCTACTTTCATCTTAATGACATTGCCAGATCCAACGTTTACTCACTCATTTCCTGCGATTGAGACTTCTTATATCGTGTGTATGGCGACGACGATACAGTTGCGAAGCAAACGGAGGGATTGAGGGATAAAAAACGACTCTTGTTCAGACTGAAGGCGTTGTGGGTTGGTATTGATGGACGGCGGCGATTGGATATGTGAAAAATGGAGTTTTTGCATTTTAAGACTTCTGAGCAAATTTCTGTTGTTTTGAGTTCAATATCCTTTCGAACATCGGTCGGCCCTTTGTAGCAATTATCGGAGCTAATCCCATCGTGATGCATTCTTTTTCTTCACGATAATCACACTTCCTTATTAATGCTGCTTTCGTTAGCACTCTCAAAATAATAACGAGTTCCGTATGCAACCGCTATAAAATACTTACTTAATGTTTAATTAGTGTTTGAGTTTAATGCTAATTTATGACCATCTGAGCATAACCATGCGCAGATAAATATTCATGACTTGTTCACGTGTGTTTCATTGCGAACGTAATTTATTGATGCTGAATCCGCAAAATGCTACCTAGTGGAACAGTCGTTACTTTTTTTTACGTTTTGCTAGCTATAGATGAGCGCTCTAACAATTTTGGATGAAAACTAAACCACTGATTTAGACACGTCTAGCTTTTCGTTAAACATATACACCTTTTGAGATGTGCATATTTTTCGTTAGAAAAATTCGCACGCTCTGCAATTCACGGTCCCTGCAATCTGCAACAAATTTC